CGCGACGTCCGCAGTGGCGCGCCTCGGCCGCGCATAGGCCACGCACATGGCCTTGACCAGGCCGACGCTGAAGCCATGCGCCTGGGCGGCGTCCCGCAGGAGCTCGTGGTCGATCCACTCGTAGAACTTGCTGATGTCGAAGCAGACCGAGGCGCCGTCGAACCCTCGGGCTCGCGCCAGGCCGAGGTGCAAGTTGTGGAGGTACGCAGCCCTGTCACAGCTGGTGTCCGAGCTGCTGCCCCAGATCTCTGGCAGCTGGCGCTCGGCCTCCCATTTCGAACAGCACTTCCGTCGGACACGACCCCAGATCCGCAGCCAGAAGGCCATCTGCCCAATCGAGCGACGGCCGCCGTCTGGCTAGCCCTGGAAGACGACCGGGGTGGCGAAGAGGCCCGTCGGCTCGGGGTCGCGCACCCGCGCCATGAGGACCTGCAACCCGCTCGGCAAACGGGCGGCCCAGCAGCAGCAGCAGCAGCTGGGATGAAAGGCATCCCATCCCAGCGCAGTCTTTTGGGAAGGGACTTGGCAGCGGCCAGCACCTCCCCGGGCGCAATGGCAGGGAGATCCACGATTAAGAAACAAGATGCCGACATAAACATAATAGGCGCACAATTTCCGATTGGGCGCCCGCCTTCGCGCGCGGGCTGGCGCGCGAACCTATTTGATCGGGGCGCGCAGAAAGATGCGCCCGCGTCACCCCGCTCGAACACGCGCCCGCTTCCAAGGCGTCAACGTCTTCAAGGCGGCAATCTCCAAGGACCGCCAGGCGTCGCAAAACAGACCCCACGGGCGAGCGGGAAAGCCGAAAGTCCTCGCCGGCGGATTTCCCGGAACATTTCTGGATTTATGTCATTCGGACGGTTCGAGCGGCAACGCGATTTGGACTTGCATGTAAATCCCACGTGTGCTGTGTCTTATGTCAATCAAAAGTTATATGTCACAGCAGGGCACCCAGTGACATAAAAGAAGCCAAGAACCCTGCTCAGCACACCTCAAAACACAATCGAGGGTAGGTTGGCGCTTGATTTTTGGCGCGGCAATGACGCAGGGGAGTTACGGCAGCAACTGCTCGACCTATACACGCCGTTTGCGCACTTGGGGGGGCTGCGACATCACGGGCGAAATTGTTGCGAATCGGTCTCAGCCGTGTTCGCGGAATAGCGCCAAAAGGGTACTGTTAGTATGTTTGTGTGGTCGACTTGTTCCTGAAAGATAGCCTGCCGCTGAGCGGGTGGGATCTGCGCGCTGCCTCCTCCGCCGCCAGCGGGCTCATTCACGCCTCGCCTGTCCATCCAGAGCCGCTTCCACTCCTGCAAGGTCTGGTCCAGCGCTGCCTGTGCCACCAGCAGCACAGGCGGGGAATCGTGCCCCGCTGCAGACGTCACCGCGAAGGTGTCCCAAGCGGGTGGCTTGCTGACCGCGTTGGCAACGCGCCCGCCAGCCGACAAGGCGTTGTCCGAAGTCGCGCCAGCGGGCGCGGGCAGCAGCGGCGTCCTCGCGGACGCGGTTGGCAGTGGCAGCCTCTATGGCTTCGAGGAAGGAGCTGCCAGCACTCGGCGACGCCTTGGCCTCGTCCAACATTAGCTGCATGATCGAAACCGAGAACATGTTGCAGCCATGCTGGGTGAAAGGCGGCACCAGCAAGACGGCCGCCGCTTCCGGGTGGCGCATGCAGGCTGCGCGCCCCACGCCAGGCGACACCTGCGCCGCGGCCCCCGCCAGCTGCCTGGCCAGCCGACCCAGCGAGATCCAGCGCCGAGTCAGCGGGCTGACCTTGCGCGCGGTCTCGGAGCGCAACAGGTCCTTCAGAAACTTCCTGACCCTCCGCGCCCCGCGGGCACGCCCTCGATACTGGTCGGCATCAGCTCCCGGGTCATGGAGGTCGACCAGGTGCTGCTCCGCCTGCTCGTAGAACTCCTTCACCTCCGCATCTGGCGGGCCCTGGTCGCCCCTCGTCGGCGCCGCCCTGCAGAGGTCCTCAGCCGCCTGCTCCGCCTTGGCCGGGAGAGCGGGGCCCCCACCCTGCTCCAAGTCGAAGCGCCGAGGCGACTGAGGGGCCCGAACCTGCGCCTGCGAGCCCAGGCGGGCGAAGCGGGTGCAGCGCGGGTGGGCAATCGCCTCCACTCGGGGCTCCAGGGCCGCCAGCGCCGACGAGACCACGAAGATGTCGTACTGTTTCGCCAGGCAGGTCGGGTGCTCAGCCTCCAGAGTCGCCCCACCAACAGACCGGGGCCACCAGTGCCCAGCAAGCTCATGCGGTTCCATGCGCCAGTCGCCGCCGACCACGAACGGCTCCGTCAGGCCATTGAGGAGCTCCTGCAGGCGGCTGAGCAGCTCGACGTTGAGGACCGACAGGCGCGAAGAGTGTTCCAGGTAGATGCTGACCGCCACGAGCACCAGTCGTCGAAGGCAACGCGTCGCGCCAGCACCCCGGGGCCGAAGTCGCCCCAGTCCCGCGCAATGGGCGCCACCCCTCGGAACTGGCCCGTCAGGATGGCGACCCCCGACGACACCTCCTTGGCCTTGCCCCCCGCGCGCCTGCAAGGGCCGAGGGCCACCTGGAGGCCGTTGCGGTGGCACCATCCCCTGGCGGCCTCCGCCGCGCGGCCTGAGCGAAACCTGGTCTCCTGAATCAAACGCAGGTCATCCGAGGCCCCCGTGCCGCGCAGCTGCCCCAGCTCCGTCTGGGCTTGGGCCCACGTCGATCCGTTGAGCGCGACGATGCTGGCGGCGGCGGCCCGCGGCCTCGGGCCGAGCTCCGCCCGCGCAAGTTGGCGCACCGCAAGCGCCTCGGGCCTGGCCGCGCTCGCCGCGAGCCCCAGGCCCTCCGCCGTGCTGAAGCACCCGCCGGCTGGCTGGCAGCCTCCGCCGCGGGAATGGGGCGACAGTGGCCAGCAGGCCCAGGTCAGCAGCATCGTCTGCCAGGGAGCGGACCACAGACGGCGAAACCTTGGCCCAGGCTCCCAGCGCGGGGGCGCGCCTCTTTGCCTGGCCGCGCTCCGCAGCGGGTTGCGGCTCCAGCAGTTCCACGCCCGAGGCTGAGTCGACCTCGCCGCCGTCGCTCGGCACGTGGCTGTCCCCCCAGCGCTCCCGCGGAGACGGCACGGGCACCTCGTGCGCCAGCGGGGTGATGGCCTCGACTGCCGCCATCTGCCGCATCGTGGCCTCCCAGGCGCTGGAGAAGTTGCCCGCCGTGTGCGCCGTCGACAGCGCGCGCCGCTGCACGAACAGCCCACGCACGGCCGCGAGGTCGTCGCCCGACACCTGGTAGCGCTCCTGGATATCCTTAGCCTCCGGAGCCGCCGCCTCCAGGCAGGTGAGCCGCTCCTTCGCCGCCTGCCGCTGCTCCTCTGCCAGCACCAACTTCTCCTGCGCCGCCTGCAGCTCGGCCTCGGCGTCGCCCCGGCCTCCTCGAAGGCCCGCCGCGCACTCGCCGCCTTCCGCGCAGCCTTGCTGACTGATGTGGCCTCTTGGCGGAGCTTTGTAGCTCGCGAGAGCCCTGCCACCCTGTCCACGGCCAGGGACGCGGCCAGCTCGTCGCGCTGAGCTCGAAGGGCCGCCAGCTGCTCTTCAACCAGCCCCGCATGGCCTCCGCCCAGGCTGGGGAAGCCCTCGAGGTACTCGATGTCGCGCTGCAGCGCACCCGACGCCCGCTGGCGCCAGGCCCCGAGCCTCCGCCTGAGCCGCCAGCTCGCTCCGCGGAGGTTGCGTCCGAGCCGATGCCAGGAGGGGCTGCAGCCGCGGCAGCCGCCGCGGGGGCTTGCGCCGCCCCTTTCTTGCCGTTGCCAGGCCGCACACAACCCTGCTCGTAGACTACAGGCTGGGCGGCGGCGTGGTCCACGGCCCAGGGCGGCGGCGCCTTGGCCTGGCAACCGATGCGCGTGCTGCGAGAGCAGTAGTCGTTCCACTGCTTGCGTGCACGGCTGGCGCAGACCCAGTGCGCACCGTCGCCGCCGCGGCCGCCGCGAGCACCAGCAGCACCGCCAGGAGCCGCGGGAGGCGCCATCCTACGGGCCTGCCGCCGCTTGGACCAGCGCCCTCAATCAAAACATTCGTCGCTTGGCCCAAAGCGAGGAGACCCTCGCGCTCGGAACGCCGCGGACGACTCGCGGTCGTCGGGCGTTCCATGGCCTTGAGCCAAAATGGTTACGGACAGCGAAGGCATTGGATAGGGAACCAATTGATGAGGACTCCAGGGTCTCGAAGCCAGCGGAGCTTCGACCGTGGATTGGCCATGGGTATCACGGCCGCCCTTATCAGATAAAAAAACCCAAGGTTCTGAAGCCTCCCCGACACATTCCTTAACCAACGCCCCCACCGTATACCATACAGCCGTGGCGCTGGCAAAGCGCGGAATCGAGTCGGAGGGGGCAGGGGTAAAACGAGGAGGGGGGGAAGGATGCGGAGGCGACGTGCTCGACCATGGACCTATTGTTGCCCATCGCTCCTGGGGCGTCGTCGGCGGTCATCGAAGATCTTCGCACGGTTTTCGGCGGTCTTCGGCGGTCTTCTGGCGGTCTTCGGCGGTTTGGGCGGATTCCGGCGGGTTTGGGCGCTCAAGCTGGATGGTTGCGTTCAACAACTGGTACATGAGTCGAAGACCTTTTGGAGCATTAGGAGGCAACTCCTGGGAAGTCTCCGCCAGAACGACTTGGGGGCTAACAGGCCCACTTCGGGGGCGTTGGAACCCGATGAGGCCGCACTGAGGCCAGGATTGAACCGGCCTGAGCGGCATTAAGGTCTAGCGAGATGAAGCAAGATTGGGCCAGCGTCCGACCAGGGATATACCAGCGCCGACTCAGATGAAGGGGCCCTGGGACACACAAATAAATACACACAAATAAAAAGATTCCCCATATTTTCCCATATTTTCTGGGTTTCTGTCTTCCCCCCCACTTCCCATATTTTCGCATATTTTCTGGGATTCGACGAGGAGGAAGGCTGCGGCCCGAGGGTGACAGGGGGAGGCTGGGCTGCTGGGAAAGAGCGACAGCGCCGGCCTGGTTGAGGGCGACCGAGGTGTCGGCCGTGGTCTTGGAGCTGCCGTAGAGCTGGTCCGCGCACTCGCAGTCCGTGGCCGAGATGGCGGTCGCGAGCGTCGCGGCCTCGTCGGCAAAGTCGCGGGCCTCTCTCGGCGTCGCGCCAGGAAGAGGAGGAGGAGGAGGAGCAGGAGCAGGAGCAGGAGCAGGAGGAGGAGGAGGGGAGGAGGGGGGGAAGGCGCGAGAAGCCGCCTGCGCATTATCCTGAGACGCAGAGGGCTTCTCAGAAGGCGTGAGGGCTTCTGGGAGGCCCCGCCGCCTTCTCCGAGAAGGCAAGCCCCCTCTGAAATCTCCCCCCAGGCGCGCCACCTCTTCCTGCTCCTCCTCCTCCTCCTCCTCCTCCTCCTCCTCCTCCTCCTCCTCCTCCTCCTCTCCTCCTCCTCCCTCCTCCTCCTCCCCCTCCTCCGCCTCCTCCTCCTCCTCCCTCCTCCTCCCTCCTCCTCCCTCCTCCTCCCTCCTCCTCCCCCCTCCGCCCTCCTCCTCCTCCTCCTCCTCCTCCTCCTCCTCCTCCTCCTCCGCTCCTCCTCCTCCTCCTCCTCCTCCTCCTCCTCCTCCTCCTCCTCCTCCTCCTCGGGAGGATAAAACCCCCTGGACCCCCGTATCGACACCGTTGGAAAAGCCTCGCCCCCCATCCGCGGGGATGTTCTGAGGGGAGGGTCCAGCGCCGGATCACGACCCTCAAACATTTCCCCTAAAAAACCCTCCAGGGGGGGGGGTCCAGGACAGCTCCGACGCTCTGGGAGTGGGAAAAAGGGGGTGCAGGAGAAGGACGAGGAGGAGGCGGAGGAAGTGGAAGAGGAGGAACCAGGAAGCCCTCAGTGCACCCCCCACTTGGGCCCAACTACCCATATGAACTACACCCTGCGAAATGCTTCAGAAATCATGGGTTAAGAAATTCATAGTCTCAGAACTTGACTAAAAACCCAAAAAATCTATTAAAATCTTAGGATTTACGTTGAAACATTAAGAATAATCGAGACCCTGGCCGAACATTTAAGTTTTCTTAAGCATCGCCTGAGGTGTAGATGCCACTTGATGAGTATGCTGCGAGCTGTGTGAATAGGAAGCCCGCCGCCCGCCTCCGCGGGGCACTCCGGGATGGCGCACGTCTCGATCTTGTGCTCATCGCTGGTGTCCATCGTGTAGCACCAGGGCATCTCCTGAGAAGAAGGACAGATACAGCCCAAAGAATGTTTTTTTTTTCAGCGCTATTTTGCCAGCTTGCTGTCCATCTCGCACACGCCAGCTTGCTGTCCATCTCGCATATCGTGCTGGGGAGTCCGGGGGCCACGCCACCCTCAGTCGCAAACAGCACAAAGAATGTTCGGAGGCCGACGCTAATGTATTGGATCGGCGACGGTCCCCCCCCCCTCCCTGGCGCGCGGAGAGCGCCAGGGGCAGCGACGGAGGCGCCGCCAAGCTAAGGCCAGCGCCAGCACAAACCTTCGCAACACTGGTCGATTTCTGGGCCTCGGCGCCTGCGACCCGTCTGGGTTGCGGCAATAGTTGTGGTTGCCCAGGCCGCCGCTCGTCAGGGTCAGGGTGATGGCCCAGGGCTTCTGCGCGGTCCTCGGAGGGCGCCAGCTGCAAACCAGAAGCGGTCCTGGCCAGGCAAATCCTGGGCCTAGGACTGGTCTTCGGCAGGTTCGCGTCGTGACGACTTGTGCGCTGGCCTCTGGTACCGCACGGTTCGCCCATCCTTGAATAGTCGCGGCTCTCGGACAGCTCGAATTGTTCGATGTCGACAAATTCTTGGCCAGTGGCGGCGTTCAACCATTGATTAGGGGATCGACTACAGAATGGTCTTGGCCCAAGATTGAAATTGCCGTCGGATCTGCAGATGATGCGTATAATGATTTTAGCCGAAGCCCATTCGACGCAGCTTGCTAGTATGCCCGGCAAACACAACAACTCTGGGACTCTGGGGTAAATCAACTGTATGGTCGATCCCCCATACTGAAAACCTTGAACACTTGAGCTGTGGTCGTCGCCGCGTCGATGCGGCGCGAACCTAACGTATGCGCCTTCCTGGCCAAGCCAAGAGTGCGTGCACACCCATCCTGGACTCGGCCTCGGCCTGACCAGGATCGGAAGTTATTACAGCTGATGCCCCACAGAGTCCATTTCTGGCAAGTTCGCCCGCTGAACGTGGACGTGACCAGCCCGCGGTAGCTTTCGCCCTTGTCATCCGCCATGTAGCAACTCGTGTCGAACTCGCCCAACGGCTCCGCCTTCTGAGGGTCCAACGGAACGCACGTACATACCCCAACCCCTGGAGCCCTTAGAATTCGCGATCACGCCAATGACTGGACCGTCCCCACCCCCTCCCTTCCCTCGGTCACGTCACGATTCGCGCAGACGCCAACTGGGAATTATAGCTATTTGTAGGCATTCCCAGACGTCGCCGGCGCGGCGAAGCATGACGTGAACGGCCCCCTCCTCCCCCCTCCCCTCCCTGTCACGCCCGTAATCGCCCAGGGAACAAGGCCAGACAAAAATGCTCTCCTGGCAGGAGGGGAAAGGGAGGACGCGGGGGGTCTGCCAGGCTGCATCGGTTATTGCGCACTCTTGGCCTCTTCCCAGGGGCCCGCTTTCCCATCCTGGGCTAATGCTTGGCAGCCCTGGGCCCCGAGGCTCGTCTTGTTTTTGAGACGAAGACGATCTGGGCCAGATCTGCTCAAAATCCCGGACCACACTCTGGCCCGTTCTTCGCGACCCGGCAGGCCGTTTCCACGAGCGGGTCCGCGTGGCCCCGATTAAATACCACCAGATTAGGTGTCGTCCTGCTCCGATTAATTGTTCCTGCCCCTTCCCCGCCTCCCCTCCTCCTCCTCCTCCTCCTCTTCCTCATTCCTCTTTCCTCCCTCCATTCTCCTTCCTCCTTCCCCTCCTCCACCTCGTCATCCGCGTCTTCATCCTCCGTCGCCTCCTCCGTCTCCTCCTCCTCCTTCTCCTCCTCCTCTTCCTCCTCCTCTTTTCTGCCTTCTTCGCGCGCATGCGGGCCGCCAGGCCGCAATCAGGGACAATGGCCAGGGCCAAAGACAGCCGCAGCGAGAAGCTCATCGCCGGTGCTCTGCCGGAGGGGGGCGGAGCGTTTGCTTCGTTGGTGCCTGAGATCCTCGAGACCAGCAGCTGCAGTCGACCTCCGGGGAGGAGGGAGGCGGAGAAGGGGGGGGGGAGGAGCGAGGGAGGAGTCGGCGGCGCGCCGGGGGGGCGGGCCCTCTTCGGAACGCCGAGAAGCTCTTCCGAGAAGCTCAAACGAAGGATTGCAAAAAAAAACCCTTCGTTCGGTTTTTTTGCAATCCTGGGTTTTTTTGCAATCCTTCGCTCGGGTTTTTTTGCAATCCTGGGTTTTTTTGCAATCCTCCGAACCCTCCCAAGGGGGCTCCTCCGAGGCCGGGCGGCTGCTGAGAAGCCCCGACGCCTCCCGAGAAGGCCCGGCCCCCCTCGGCGCGCCGCCGGAGGCGGAGCGAGGGAGGTCCCCCGGAGGTCCCCAGGAGCTGCCGAGGTCTCCAGCTCTCCATCGCTCGGACGTTCACTCCCCGTGCAGTGTTCGGCTTCGTGCGCGCCTTCTGTCGGACGGTGGCCCAACGGGCTCCACGATGGTCCTCGCCGAGACAGAACTGCAAGCAACGCATCAAGAGCGACCTCGAGCGAGGAGAGAGGGCCGAGGCTCCCTCGAGGAGGCCTCGCCCTTTGGCAATCGCTCGAGGTGGGGGCGGAGGCAGGTCTCAAGAACAGAGGTGCTCCTCCTCCTCCTCCTCCTCCTCCTCCTCCTCCTCCTCCTCCTCCTCCTCCTCTTCTCACCATCCTCCTTCTCCTCCTCTCCTTCTGTCAATCTGCGGCCCCAGGACTCAGAGCAGGAACGTGGGACTCGGAGCAGCACCAGGGCAGGATTCCCAGCAGCTCGCGGCAGAGGGCACGCCCAGAGCAGGAGCAGGGACCCGGGACCCGGAGCAGGAAGACAGGGACTCGGAGCAGAAACAGGGGCCACCCTCAGAGCAGAAGAGGGGGCCCAGGGCCTGGAGCAGGAAAACAGGGACCACCGCCACCGGGAACCCACCGGGGGGGGGGGACCTACCCCTGGGCGGCCGCACGCCGCAGCGACGTCTGGCACCGGGCGGCGCTCGGGCGTGCCACCGCCAAGGGGCCGGCAGCCCCTCGATGATAGCGGTGGTCCCTGCTCCTCCTCCCGAGAAACTTCCGACCCCCTCCCTGGGGACAGTACCAGGAGGAGAAGCAAAGCACGTATAAACATACACTTTCGACGGTCCGCGCGGATGTCTTGGATTTGCGCTGGGCCCCCCTCTCCCTGGCGCGCGGAGCGCGCCAGGGGCGGCGCCGGAGGCGCCGCCAGGGGCCCCCGCCGCGGATCCGGGAAATCCGCGCGGAGCGCCAAAAGTTTTTCTGTTTACGCGCGTTCGTTCTTCTTCGAAGTACTTCCCGCCCCGCGCTCACCCGTTTTTGCCCTGAAGCTCCAACCCAGGTGTCGGGCGCTTTGTTTTTTCCAACGCGTGTGCCTCCAGACTTGCCCCACCGCCCGAGGTGCTCGTTCTGGGGACCTTCCTGGAGCCACGCGCTCCGCTCACGCGTCGATGACGCGCCGGAAATTCGTCGACTTGAGACGGACTGAAGTCGAGCTCGAGTCGAGCTAGAATCGAAAATATCTGCTTGGTGGCCCCAGGAAGGTTCCCCACACAAACATCCAAACTACCCGCGCCCCATCCCGAATAATCATTCGACGGCATGACGGAACGAAGCTGGCCTCCCAAAGCCCACCACCCAGACAGAAAACGACAGACCGGCCCCCTCGATGTCCTCGATGCTCTCTGAATCAGGGGCTACGAGAATAGATATGTATGTGCAAATAGACATTTATATACTTATATATATATATATACATACATACATATACATATATATACACACACTAAAACCATCGCGCGCGTTTCGCGCGCGCTTCGGTTCTAGTTGAGGTCACGGCCAAGTCCTAGTTCTATTCTGGTTGAGGTCAGGTCCGGTTCCCTCTCGAGGCACGCTTGGACCGTCATGGGCGCGTCTTGGGGCAATGTTTGGAGCCTCTTGGGCTGTTTTGGGCACCTATTGGGCCGTCGTCGGGGCCTCTTGGGCCGTCTTGGGGCTCTCTTGGGAGCCTCTTGGACCGGCTTGGGACGGTGTTGGGGGCCTCTTGGGCCGTCTTGGAGCGTCGGGACGACGAAAAGTTGAAGAAGCCAAAAACTCTGAAAAGTCTGAAAAGTCTGAAGGCAAGCGATAATTTTGGCTGTTTGGGTCCATCTTGGGAATGCTCTTGGGGCTGTCTTAGGACGTCTTGGACGCAACTGGGGCGATCTGGGCGCCATCTTGGGCGTCTTGGAGCGGTTTTAGGCGCGTCGAGGCACGCTTGGACCGTCTTCGATGCCTCTTGGGCCGTGCTTGCAAGCTCTTTGGCGGTCTTAGGCGCCTGTTCGGTTGTTTTTAGGCCCTCTTGGGCTTGTGGGCCTCTTTGGCGATCTTGGGACGGTCTTGGGGACTTCGTGGGCTGTGTTGGAGGGTCGGGACGACGATAAAAACAAGAAAACCCAAAACCTAATATAAAAAAAAAACGGAATTCAGTGATTTCTGCCTCTTGCAGCCCTTTTGGGAATGCTCTTGGGGCTCTCTTGGGACGTCTTGGAAGCCTCTTGGACCGTCCGGGAGCCATCTTGGGCGTCTTGGATCGATCGTGGGCGTCTTGGTGTGGTCTTAAGCGTCTCAAGGCACGCTTGGACCTTCATGGGCGCGTCTTGGGGCAATGTTTGGAGCCTCTTGGTCTGTCTTGGGCGCGTATTGGGCCGTCGTCGGGGCCTCTTGGGCCGTCTTGGGGCTCTCTTGGCAGCCTCTGGGACCAGCTTGGGACGGTCTTGGGGGCCTCCCTGGCCGTCTTGGAGCGTCGGGACGACGAAAAATTGAGGAAGCCAATAAGCTGGGACGTCTTGGACGCAGCTTGGACCATCCAGCAACCATCTTGGGCGTCTTGGAGCGGTCTTAGGCGCGTCGAGGCACGCCTTGACCGTCTTCGACGCCTCGTGGGCCGTGTTTGCAAGCTCTTGGGCGGCCTTAGGCGCCTATTGGGTTGTTTTTTAGCCCGCTTGGGCCGTATTTGGGCGCTCTTGGGCGATCTTGGGACGGTCTTGGGGACTTCGTGGGCTGTCTTGGAGGGTCGGGACGGCGAAACAACAAGAAAGCAAAAGGCCTGAAAAAACCAACGGGATTCAATGATTTCGGCCTCTTGCAGCCCTCTTGGGAAAAGCTCTTGGGGCTCTCTTGGGACGTCTTGGAGGCCTCTTGGGCCATCTGGGAGACATCTTGGGCGTCTTGGAACGGGCTTAGGCGCGTCGAGGCACGCTTTGACCGTCTTCGACGCCTCGTGGGCCGTGTTTGCAAGCTCTTGAGCGGTCTTAGGCGCCTGTTCGGTTGTTT